ACACTGAGTGACAAACTGTCCATTTTTAACAAGATTTGAAAACCATTCATATTGTTTTAGCAGATCTGAACTGATAGAGTTTTATAAAAGTATTGTATATTAATTAATTAATTTAATTAATTAATTAATTTTGTTTCATTATTTATTTTATAATATCTCTTTTGGTTTTATTGTCCATGTACACCTTGCTTAAATTTTTTCTTTTTGTCCCAGCCAATTCCATATTATGATTGTAAATGCTAATCATGTGTGCCTTATTTTATTTTTTATAAACCTTCCACAAATACTTTGATTAATGTTAGATGGGTGGGTTGGGATGTAGGGTTTTGAGTTCTGTTTTGTAGTAAGCTAAATTCACTGTATTGGAATACTTTCAAAAGAACTCTGATATATGGTTCATCTCTATATTATATATATATATATATATATATATATATATATATATATATATATATATATATATATATATATATATATATATATATATATATATATACATATACATTCACAGTTGAAATAATAATTTGAACAGAATAATTTGCCCCCCCCCCCCCCCCCTTGAATTTTTTGATATTTCCCAAACAATATTTAACAGAGTAAGGACATTTTCACAGTATGTCTGATACTATTTTTTTTCTTCTGGAGAAAGTCTTATTTGTTTTATTTCAGCTAGAAGATTTTATTTAAAAAAAAAATGTAAGGTCAAAATTATTAGCCCCTTTAAGCGATATATTTTTCGATTGTCCACAGAACAAACCATTATTATACAACAACTAGCCTCATTACCCTAACCTGCCTAGTTAACCTAATTAACCTAGTTAGGCCTTTAAATGTCACTTTAAGTTGTATAGAAGTTGTCCATACAAGTTGTACGGACATACAACTACATCTAAAGCAATTTTTAAAAAAAACTTTTGCCACAGAGATTGACTAAAAATAATCTCTCAAAATCCTACTTAACATGGATTGTCACAATTAATTTTAATTCTACAAAAAAAATTTATGAAAGAATAATATATATATATATATATATATATATATATATATATATATATATATATATATATATATATATAAATATTTTTTTTTTTTTTTTTTTTTTTTTTTTTTTTTTTTTTTTGATTAGCTAGCCTGTGGACCTATTAACACCTATTTTGTGTTCCAAGGAAAAAAGTAAATCGCAAAAGTTTATGAAAGTGGATGACTATTAACTTTAAGTTTGTCATACCACTCTGAGCATCAGCTTTGAATTTAATCCTCTTTCCAGTTAAATGACTCCTCTTGATCAAGCAATGGTCATGGTTTCTGTATGGTACTAACTGGTGCCAGCTGTGAAGAGAGAGGGCACACGTGGGGAGGGTTTTCTGTGTTTGAACTGCTTCAAAACTAAACCCTACCGCTTGGCCCACAGTGACACTTCTACACATCTGGCCCACTACTCACATACTGTCTTTTTAAAGGACGACGTTCAATGGAAAACATCCAACCGTGTCAGATCCACTACATCACTATGTTGAAGAACTAAGAGCTTCAAAGTGGATTTTATCTCATGGATTTGGTATGTGCTGAAGTCCTGGCAATAATTTTGTCTGCTTCATGTCCCACTTAAAAAATATGAGGAGAAAGGTTTCTATATTATTTGAATGAAACTATAACAATATAGTTAATAATCATACATGGCATAAAAGCTGTGATGTCTTTATCGGAGCCATGTGGAAAGCTAATTAAAATCAGCCATCTTCAACTATTCAACCGAAATAGCTGCTTTTGCGGTGGCAGAAGGGCTACAATGTTTCAGTACATGGAGTCTAATGTATAAATAAATCATTCATTAGCAATCCAACACTATGCATGCTGGCAGATATTCAGATTTTATGCTTTTTTTAACAATTTCAGACCATAATGATTGTAAAATATTGGCCCTGAATGAAAAAAACATCATGGTCAGAATTTATGCACTGTGTATATCACATATGCTAATAATGATATTCAGCATAGAGATATAGTATCATTTCTGAAAATTCAACCAATTAATTGTCTGACCACATGTAAAGGACAGTTTCATTTTTACATTTTAAAGCATAGGTCTCACACTTGATTCCTGCAGGGCCACAGCACTGCACAGTTTTGCTTCAACCCTAAATCAAACACAGCTGATTCGTGTTCAAGACTACTAGAGACTTTTAAGCAGGCATGAGTTGGAGGTGGTTGGAGCTAAACTTTGCAGAGCTGAGGCCCTCCAGGAATTAAGTTTTTAAAGTATTTTTTTAGAAATGTACTCATTCACATTTACTCATCATATTCTGATTAATGTGGAATTATTCTTTTCTTTTTTTTTTTTGATTGATGGGTTTGAATTTTCATTAATCAGGGTAAATTTGCAAGGGTGTGAATCATGTACAGAAAAAAATAAATAAATCGCAAGTAAAAATAATTGCACTAGAGCAACGAAAAAGTTAAATAAACAGTCCTTTATGGAGTAAAACAGTATTCAGATACAGACATTGAATTCTGGAATAAAAAGTAACATTATATAGTCTTCACTGTAGTGAATCAGTAAAATTATTCTTCATTAAAGTTACAAATGTACTTTGTGACTGAATGCTTTAAACCAATGGTCTCAAACTCAATTCCTGGAGGGCTGCAGTTCTGCACAGTTTAACTCCAACCAACACCTGCTTAATAGTCCATAGTACTCTTGAACACCTTGATTAGTTGCATCAGCTGTGTTTGGTTCGGGTTGAAGCAAAACTGTGCAGAGCTGTGGCCCTCCAGGAATCGAGTTTGAGATCTATGCTTTAAACTATCTTGAAATGCCTTTAAAGCATATGCAAATGATAATATTTACTCTGTTATGTTAGACTTTGCAAAGACTCCACTGTATTCTCAACTGTTGTGCTGATAAACTATACACTCTTCTCAACATTGCATATCCTGCGATGTGACTATTGCAGACATGTACATTGCATAATCAATGCTGAAACGATATATTGTGCAGCCCTACGGGTGTTAAGAAACAGTATTACCGCAAACAATGTATTTTGTGACACCATTATATGAAACGTAATTTCACCAGCATGGACCACACCACACCACACTTTATTGTAGGGATGAAAGGGATGGTAAGGGAATAGTGAGATAAACGGGAAGGGAAGAAAGAGGATAAACAGTGAACATGTAGGTAGGTTGTTCAGGCATCCTACGATGATGCCCAGAGACTCAGAGTGGGGGTACCGTCTCTGTAATATTTGGGTAGAGCAGGGGTGTCCAAACAAGATTCCGGAGGGACAGTGTCCTGGAGAGTTTAGCTCCAACCATAATCAAACACACCTGAACCAGCTAATTAAGCCCTTACTAGATATACTAGAAACTTCCTGGCAGGTGTGGTGGAAGATGGAGATTATGGCTGTTTCTCAATTCCAAGAATGCAGAGAACGGACTTGCGTTCTTGTGGAGACCGGTCTTGCCAGATGTCTTCGGAAGAACGAACTCAGGAGACCGCGAGGGCAGAGAACGAGTCCTTTGAGAAATGGGATGCTGCGTTCTACCTTATGGTCATGTGACCTTCACGCGTTTTAAATGGAAATTATTTAAAAACATTACAGCACTCATAAAACGATTTATAGTTTCGCGCCTCTTCAAAATATATATTTTGCATAAAAACATTATAAATATACTCTGCACAATATAAATAAAACTAATTTTAATCCGAATTTCAGCAAACAAACACCCTTTATGTGTTTATTACTTTATTAAGATATTCATGTTAATGTTTACTTTCACCATTTCATTTAGGGAAACTTCTTAGGTAAATAAGTGTTATCTCTGAACTTTAATAATAAATCTAAATAAAATGCTGCGCTTCCCACCTCCAGTCGCAATGACTTCTGGGACTTCCAGAGCGAGTTCGGTGCTCAAGTCTGCATGGGTGCGTCCTCGATATCAAGATCACATCCGGGAAGTTTCACGCGTCCTCCGTACTTGCGGTCTTGGGTATTGGAACTGAACTTAGGCAGCTGATGATGACGTTACACGAGAACACGAGGACGCAAGACCGCTAAAGAACGCATATTGAGAAACAGCCAAACTCTCCAGGACACCGGCCCTCCAGGGCTGAGTTTGGACACCCCAGGGGTAAAGTGATTGGAGCCCCCAATTCAACCTAGGATGGAAGAGAGGGTTATAAGATTGTTAGTGGGAAGTGAGGAAATAGAAGGAGGGAGGGTGGGTTCGAGAGAATAAGAAGAACAGCGCAACAGAGCTGGTCTTCCTTAAATAAGTTTTTAGGGAGTAGCTGATTGGTTAAGGAGACAAAGTGAGGCGTTGTTCCGCTACCAAACCTTTGGTAATTAGTTAACTTTATATGATCGATTTTTTTTATTTTGTCCATACAATATATATATCATCATATTTCACAGTATTATTTGATATAACACACCTGTTAAGTTTGGCAGGTGATTAAAGAGAATGTTTAACCCAAAATGTAAATGATTTAAAATTTAATCTGTTTTATTGTCTATGAGAGAACCTGCAACACAAGCATCTATTTCCATATAATGAAGTCTATAGGCATGTGCAAGTACTTGACAACCAAACCAACAACTGTGGTGGACTAAATGACATCACCAATTACTAGCCTGGCATGCAAAATACACATTTTTAGTCATTTTTAAGATCCAAAACAGGGATAATTTTCACAGCACAAATGATTTTTCACAGAAACACAAAAGGAAAGTTGTTTTTGTACCCTTAAGACTGTCCGCTCCCCTTTTAGCTTCTTTTGCTGTTCTGCACTAAGTAAGTCACACAGGGACAACCTGAGGGTGAGTAAATGACACAATTTTCTTCTAAATGAACTACCCCTTTAAATGAAATGCATACAATGGGAAAAAGATTGAATGCACCTGAACAGGTCACCGTGTACTTTGCCTGCATCGATCCAGGTACTATTGCTAATGAAAAAGCCTTAGGCCAGTAAGAGAAGAATGATTTAACCCTACCTGACCCGCAGTGTCATAGAGCCCCAGCAGGTACTGTTTCCCCCCGACCGTCACACTCACTGAAAACAAAACCATAAGTTAGTATTTTTATAAAATTTTGATTTAAAACTTAAATGATCCAACTTAATTAAAACTACTATTGTTTGTCATGTGCTCCGAAGAGGTGAAGGAAGAATTTTAATCACTTGGGTAAAAGAAAGATGCAAAACTGTTTTAGTTGTTTGAAATCAATCAAATGGGTTCTCAAAATTGGATAATTTATGATCAGCTGAAAGAGGGATTAAAATTAGTCTTATTTCTAATCAATCCACGAGTTGCTTAATATAGATTTATGAAATTCTGATCTAGTGAAAGATGAATGCAAATTGCTTTTGTTTGGATCTTATCAGAAGACGGGTGGTGAATCGTGCCACAGGGATGCTGCTGTGCACCAGTTGCATCCCCAGCCCACAGGTGGTTTCCATTACAGAAATACAGGCGCAACACAAAGCAAGTCACTTCAAGGTCTTGTAAATACCCTTAACTGAATGTTTTACACTGCTAATATAGCCTACACATTGGAATGCCGATTGACGTCCCTTATGTCGTAATAATATCTGGTATATTTACCTGCATAGTGATCAAAGACGGTGGGCACATATTCCTCTGGAAAGGCGTCGTTGGCATAGCTCATCAACAGACAAGTTTTTCCAACGGCGCCGTCACCGACGACCACGCATTTCAACATGATGCTGCCGGTTCCGTTTGCCATGACGAGAATAAAACACTTGAATTCAGCATCTTCAGCTGCTAGACACAGGTATATCCCGCTTTATTAAAGCTCCCTCCAGGCGTCACCAGCGGCAGCAGCAGCAGTGCAGCGCTCGGTGTGCGAAAACAGCTGAAATGCCATTTCCTCCACCCCGCTTCCCAAATTTGGCATTGACTGAGGTTTTCCCCTTCAATACTGGCACACGCCGACAACGTGCCGCTTCCGCGAGAAGGAAGCAAGCGATAAACTTGGCGTTGTCAAGACATGAACCTGAAAGGCGCGTGCTCGACACCATCCGCCCTCTCCTCTGTCCCACTTTCCCTACTTTCCAACCCCAGTCTCACCTCCTCTGACTCTTGAGCCCAACGCGGATTGACTTGCGACATAGGCGGGGTAATAACTCTGATTCAAGGGATCAAGTGTAAAGATTGGTTATCGTTGGGTTGTGTCTGACTCGACCAATACCAGTCTGCATCTTGTGGACCGACTCATTCGGTTACACATCATATTTTAAAAATAGGTTTATGGGCTCTTCTGTAACTGTAAGGCGTGCAGTGAAGAAATAATAAATAAATAAACAAATAAATAAATAAATAGGCTATTTTATTTCTTACTGATCCAACTTTATAATGATGCATGCCAAGGCCTAAATTACAGGATGTCCTTCACCTGTATATAGGCCTAATATATGTATTCATAGAAAAATGTAAATATAAAAAATGTAAATATATATTTTATTAGATATGTAAAATACATACATTTTAACATATGGATGAAAAATGTATATGGATAGGGATTCAAAAGACAGTGGCATATAAGTGCTTTAAAATGACTGTGGAAAATTATCATTTATGTCCATTTTCCAACAACATTTGATGGTTGGAATAAATTATTTGCAAATCCATTACTTAATATGCTGTTGTTTGTCAGAAAACGGGCCTTGTCTCTCTATATATCATTTACGTATTCTCTCATTTATCTATTTAAGGATTAAGTCATCGTGACTTAGTCTAAACAATAAATGAATTGGTTTATTTACCAGAAATTCACTATAACACTCTTTCAAAATCAGTTTGTAATCTGTTGCTATGAAGATACAAGAAGTACGAGTCATATTTTTCGTTTCTGCACTTTATAGATGATCCCTAACACCTGATCGCAGTCCAATCAGCTGGAAGCGGGCAGGCTGGTCAGGGATGCGCTGCTGTATCACTTTTGACAGCTACTGCAGGAGTCACGTGACCAAACAATTACCTCATACCTTGCGAGCGCGTGTGTGCGTCTGTGCTCCGTGGATATGGATTTGTGTGGGCGCGCACCAATAAAACGGTGTGGTGCAGACGCGCCCATTCGCTTTGACATGCAGTGTCTGAGCAGATTCTCCTGTCAGAGCAGCTGTATTATCATTGTCCATCTAACATTTCAAAATATAAAAATAAATGTCTTGAAGGAAAAAAAACATAGGCATACAACAATATCGAGCTTTTAAATAAAATCGAGAAATCCATATTTTAACGATTGCCCCATGAGACTCGTTGGTGTTATGCTATTTGTTGCAAATTATCCACAACTGTAAGCTTACTGATTCATATCACAACAACACTTTCTTTAAAGGCTCTTTATTGGCATTGATTGTTTTATATAGAACCTTTAACATCCAGAACCTTTTTATAATTCAACAAAAGGTTCTTCATAGTGGAAAAATCTAAATAACATAATCTGTAACTTTCTTAATGTCCTTTTATAAATTGTATAAATCCTTGCTAAGTAAAAATGTTAAGTTAACTACATTTATTTTTTATTCTATGAAGAAAATAGAAACTACACTGTAAAACCCTAAGGGTAACTCAAACTATTTGAGGAAAACGATTGCAACAAGCCATTTAAGTTCAAAAACTAATCTATATGAGTACTGTGAACTTACTCCATGTAAGTTGAAGTAATGAGGTATTTAATTAACTCATTACCTTCAAAACTCTTTTGAAATTAGTAGAATAACTTTCAGTTAATTTTGAGTTCACTACACTCATTTCATTTGATAAAGTTGACTTTTGGGTTTTACAGTGTATGAACAGGCATTTAAGAGTAACTCATAAATGCCTTGATAAAAAAAAAAATTCTTCAAGCTATTAAAAAAAAATGGTTGTTTGAAGAATTTTTGATTTAATGTTATTTTTAGCATCACCATGAAAACACTTTTTTTTGTTTCTTCCTGGGACCTTTTTCCATAATACTGAAGTCATGTTACTATATTCCCTATTTTCTAAAAAAAGAAAGAAAGAAAGACAGAAATAAAGAAAGAAAGTAACAAGTAAAGAAAGAAAGAAAGAAAGAAAGAAAGACAGAAAGAAAGAAAAGAAAAGAAAAGAAAATGTCCTAATCCACTAGACTTTCTGTTCTATTTGTTTTTCCATCATTTAAAAAAAAACTAAAACTCTATTAAGACTATTAGGATAATTTTTATGTAATTATTTAAAAAAATGTATTTATATATAAATGCTTTGATCAGGGACGGATTTAACCAATAAGCAAGGTAAGCCGTCGCTTAGGGTCCCAGAAAATCTTAGGATCCCTAATAATTATCTAGTATAAATTACACTTAACATTGTTTAACAATCATATTTTGTTTGGTGAGAGTCAAACAAAAGTTTTAACATAATTAAAGATTGTTTAATATAAAATAAAATGTTCATTTAATCATTTATTTTCTTTTCAGCTTAGTCCCTTTATTAATCTGGGTTTGCCACAGTGGAATGAACCACCAACTTATCCAACATATGTTTTGCGCAGCGGATGCCCTTCTAGTCGCAACACATCACTGGGGAACACCCATACTCTCATTCACACTCATACACTATGGACAATTTACCCTACCTAATTCACCTTTACAAGTCTTTGGACTTGTGGGGGGAAACCGGAGCAGCCGGATGAAACTCACGCAAACACAGGGAGAACATGCAAACTCCACACAGAAATGTCAACTGACCCAGCCAAGGCTCGAACCAGCAACCTTTTTGCTGTGAGGCGATTGTTCTCCCCACTATGCCACTGTGATGCCCAATAGTGTAATGCTATGTAATATTAATATTATAAAATAAAATATTATTATTGCATCTGCACAAATTTGTCCACCAGCCCAATAATGGCCAAATTTAAATAAAAATTATAAAATAAATCCTTTGTAAACTCATCATTTAAAATATAAAGATTGCACTAAGATACAATGTAGAAAAGAAGTTTGAGTGATATATAAAAAACATCTAAATAAATAAAAATGAAATAAAAGTTGAAAGGGTACCTTTTGGGACTTTTGGGTCCCATGGCTGGAATTGCTTAGGGCCCCCAAATCACTAAATCCAGCCCTGGCTGTGATCCTCTTACATGAACAATCTCTGTTTTTTAGTTTAAAAAAAGAAATAAAGAATGAGCTTTAATGTACATTATATAACACTATATGTAAATTTACAATAAGGCCTAAAGTAAATAACAATTTTAGTACAGTTTGCAGTCTTTGCAGGTAAGTATACCAAATGATATACTGTGGGGTTATCAAAAATTTTCACGTTTCACTTTAATCGCAAAAATTGTAATAAATTTATTTGGGAAGAAAAAGTAATTCAGAATGATGCAACTTTTAATAGATAATTGCGAATTCACAGCATCTCATGCTGAATGATCTTTTAATGTTTCAGCATGGTGACGGTGTAAAAATTGTATCATGTCTCCCTCTTGCGGAAAAGTTAAGTACTTCAATGCAGACTTAGGTTTTCTTAATTATGCGTGATTTGTTGTAGATAGAAGCTTTTTGATAAAAACACATAATCAATTTCCGTTCCTTACTTTTAGCTTTGTTAGCCATGTTTTTTGTGCATATTATAATTCACATTTCTGCACAATTGGCACAGAGCATTAACATATAACAGAGCTGTCAACGCGAAGCTGTAAATGTACAGTTTATTAGCCAAAAAATTGGTACAGAATTATGTGCGATATATTGGGACTTGCAAAATCATTCTCCACTGTAAATAACTTTGCAAATCCATTAAAAGAAAAAGTCTCTTAACAATCTTAGCCTCTTTTATGAAAATAAAATGCTCTGCTGATTATTGCTGAAGTAAAATCATTTGGAGAAAAACATTGTTAGAGGGGTTGGAACGTACTGTAAAAACTGCACCGTTAAATGAAATAAATGTTTTTGTATATAAAATCTCTTAAATGAAAGCCATATGTTAATCCAAGTCACGGTCAGTATGGTCTCAAACTCAATTCCTAGAGGGCCACAGCTCTGTGCAATTTAGCTCTAGCATCTCCAACTCACACCTGCTTAGTAGTCTCTAGTAGTCTTGAACACATTGATCAGTTGAATCAGCTGTGTTTGATTAGGATTGGAGCAAAACTGTGCAGAGCTGCGGCCCTCCGGGAATTGAGTTTAAGATCATCAATGTGGTGATGTCATTGGCCCAAAAACATTTCCTGCTAGTTATCAAACTATTTCATAACTGTAACAAGAGGCAATTCAATCATAACTTAATGTTAAAATAGCTGTCATAACATTATTTATCAATATGTGGCTCTTTTTGGATTTTTGGAAGCTATTGAAATTAAAAATGTAAAACAGGAAGTACGTTGGGACCATTGTTTTTGTTTACATCCCTCAAAATGTTCTTGATTGGTTAATTGATTGAATTTGATTAATTGATTGATTAATTGATTGATTGATTGGTTGATTTATTGATTGATTCATCGATTCACACATTCTATGGCCAGAAAAGAAATGAAAGAAATCAATAACATCCAACCACTTCTATCACAAATAAATAACCAAATATGTTACCTGGAGCTTTCCAAAAATTTAAAATTAAAGAAAAAAATTAAGGTAAAAGACAATTTAAGGATTAAAATACCGCTTGCATGGTAATGCAAAGACTGATTTCAGAATAGTTTTAACAGGATGCATTTAGAGTTTTTAATCATCTATTTTTTTAATGATTACTAAATTAAGTGACAGAAAAACATACAATGAATAAAAGAGGGGCAACGGCAGTTAACACATCAAAAAATAATTACAATTTTATTAATTAGTTTATTTTCCTTCACCTTAGTCCCTTTATTTATTAGTCACTAAAGTGGAATGAACTTACCTAGCTTATGTTTTACACAGTGGATGCCTTCCAGCTGCAACCCAGCACGAAGAAACTACGCACCTGCATTCACACACATACACTACGGCCAATTTTCTTCAATTCACCTATGCCACATGTCTTTGGACTGTGGGGGAAACCGGAGCACCAGAAGGAAACTCACGTGAACACAGGGAGAACATGCAAACT